TTATTTCTATGTTTTCTAAAGTTTTTACTTTAAATCCCTCTTCTTTTACCCAAGAAACCAGCAATTCTGCTAGAGAGCTATTTACATCTGCTGGGGGAAAACAAACAGATGATTGAGCTGCCTAAGAGAAGGTGGGGCAGCTGCCTGAGGAGGAGGTGGGGCAGCTGCCTGAGGAGGAGGTGAGTTAGGATTGAGAAATGGGGAAACATAGTCTAAAATGCCCACTTACGTGCTGCGTTCTTGTTTGGTTCAAGGCAAGGGCAAATAATACAATTCCTTCAACCCATTCAGGCCCTATTCTTCAGATGAGTTAACCTCTGACTTTTTGTCACTTTTTTTTCTTTAAATCATTTAAAGGGTAAAGGAGAATAGGCCATTATTGCCTACATAGGCCATAGTCTATCTCTTCCTGTGAGACAGGTCTCTTGTTAACATACATTATTAAAAATTGACAGACCCAATTCTCATCTGACCCAAATTTTGGCCAGAAAACTGAAGGTTTAAGGATTGATTCTTGGGTCCAAATAAAACAGCAATATTTTATCATTTGCTGCATTTTCTTATATTTAGTTATTTCATTGTCCTTTCAATTCTTTACTTTAGCATGAGCCCTAAAAAGCTGTTAGAGGGGATTCAATAAGCCTCACCCTCTTTCTTTTTTTCCTGTTTTACTTCCCATCCCCACTTTACTAGGAGCATTCCCCATGTTGGGTATCAGATTGGCCCAGTCTCTCACACCAGAGATGTCTCACCTATCCTTTTTCCTGGGACACTAGCCTTCCTTCCCTTCCCTGGAGGTCTCCTACACTCCTCTTCATTCATGTCACCCTCTCTGGCTTCTCCCCCACAAAAGAATTAGGCCCCTCTTAGCATCGGTGTGCCAGTATAAGCCCCATGGCAGATCTGCCCTAAGCCATATGAGGTATCCAAGGAACTGCAGAAAGGACCTACTCACTCTGTCCAGCAGTAGGACTTGTTGCCATTCACACAAGCAACACTGCATGCTGTGATGCTTGCAACCATTCACGCACACACACAAACACACACACTCTCCACCTCCAGAATATCCTGACCACCAAGTAAATACTTCATCACTCTTGTGACTTTTCTTACCTTGGTCTGTGCACAGAAGTTGCCTGGTTACCACAGTATAGCAAGCCATTCTTCCCCTGCATTTCTGAGAGTTCTGCTTTAATTCTTGTAACAGGTGGCTTGTGACTCTTGACCCCCGAAGCCACCACAATGAGGCAGTAGGGTGCCTCCTCATGAGAGAGAGCCAGCGACTACCCCAGAGGGGAGTGGGTTCCCATACAGGCCACTAGAATTGTTATATGTAAATTTTTGGTGTTGCAAAAAAAAAAAAGTAGCATTCAAATATAAATTTTCTCTCAGCAAGGCAACTTTACTTTCTGCAAAAAAGGTACACTCACCAGCAGTTTGCCATGAGAGTACAAAGAACAAGGGAAGGGCAGACATATTTATCCCTTATGGACTGGCCTCTACTGCTGTGCCAGGCCTATCTCCATTGGCTGGAGCTGGGCCTCACAATCTAAATTATACCAATTGGCTAATAACTCAAAATTTTTTCTAAAAGGCAAGAGAGAACAAAGAAAAAGAGGAAGTCATTTCTGAAAGACTTTAAAGAAGCAATAACATTTCCAAATAAGGTAGGGGAATTAACTACGAGCTGAGGCATGCCTGGGTTTATCCAGACATGTCAGGGCAAATATGTGGGCTATAGTATAAGAACTAGGACCACAGAATATACCTATTTCTTTATTATAACCAATAGCTACTTAGGATTATTAATAAAAGGCTTTCAAGTAAATCAACCTTTGAAGAAGCTATTATTCATCCTTAATAAGCTAAGAAGAAAGCTTTGAAGAGGAACTTCTATTCAGTTTTATTTTTTACAGAGTCTTCTCACTTTTTACTTAGGTATTCTTGAGGAGGGAACCCAGGCATTTGGGATTCCCTCCCCCTCTGTCATCCACTATGCATCTCAATAAAAGAGCAGGCCAGCTGGTGCCTCCTGAATCTCCATCCTGAAAACAACAGGCTAGGCCTTGGGGAGACTCTCCAGAAGGCACTATTTTTACTTAAAACAAGATCAAACCGGAAACCTTTTCACATGTGAGTCCTAAAACCGTAAACCGGAACCCTTTCATATGTAGTTCCTGAAACTGTAAACTAAAACCTTTTCACATGTGAGTCCTAAAACTATGAACCTAAGATTCTTCCACGTGTAGCATCGAAAGTATAAGCCTATATAAAGGCTAAACCTCCCTTTGTTAAACGAGCTTGGCTGTTAGACACCTATGCCACCTTGCTCCCAGCTGAAATAAATTCCTTCCTTCTGTATTTGGTGTTCGAGAGATCCTTTCCTGCGACTGCTCCTGCTACATTCTATCTAAAAGTTCATCAATTTTCTGCATCATTTCAAATACCAACTCCTTTTTTTGATGTTTTGAATTACTTCCCAGTCTCTATTGCATTTGTTTCTGTGCAGAAGTTTATAATTTTCTTCTTTGTATTTTGATTTTATTTTTTCTTGTTTTTACAGAAGTGAGAGTTATTCAATTATTATTTTAGGAAAAACTTAAGAATGAAACAATACTGAACTGAATTTCTGTTTTTACTTCCACTAAGGAGAGAGACACAGGCATTTGATTTCCTCGTGCTCTGTCATCCACTCTGCATCTCAATAAAAGAGAGCAGGCCAGCTGGTGCCTTCTGAATCTCCTTCCTGAAAACAACAGGCTAGGCCTTGGGGAAACTGTCCAGAAGGTACTATTTTTACTTAAAACAAAATAAAACCGGAACCCTTTCATATGTAATTCCTGAAACTGTAAACAGAGACCTTTTCACATGTGAGTCCTAAAACTGTAAACCGGAACCCTTTCATATGTGATTCCTAAAACTGTAACTTAAAACCTTTTCACATGTAAGTCTTAAAACTGTAAACTGGAACCCTTTCATATGTAATTCCTGAAACTCCAAACTAAAACCTTCTCACATGAGTCCTAAAACTATGAATCTAAGATTCTTCCACATGTAACATCTAAAGTATAAGCCTATATAAAGGCTTAACCTCCCTTTGTTAAACGAGCTTGGCTGTTAGGCACCTATGCCACCTTGCTCCCAGCTGAAATAAATTCCTTCCTCCTCTATTCGGTGTCTGAGAGATCCTTTCCCACAGCCGCTCTTGCTACACCACCAGCAGTTCAAGGTGTACTAAAGATAAAAAAAATCAATATCTAAAGTTCAGAGTTTTAGTACATAATTGGTGAGAACCTTGTACTTTGTCGTTACGAAACCTTTAGACTCTTATCTTTCAGCTGCATTTCCACAAAGCACATCAATGGATCTCTTTATCATTTTGGCCACTTGTCTTTCTTGTCTGACTCTTCTTTTTCTGTGGAATGGAAGCAATGCCAAAGGGAAACTCCCACCTGGCCCAATCCTCTCCCCATTGTTGGAAATATTCGACAGTTAAATAGTAAGAATATCAGCAAATCCATAAGCATGGTAAGTATGACTAATTTTCTTTTAGTTTTCTGCAATGAGTAAGTCAGATAGCCTGATAGCCAAGCAACATATGGTGCTAGATACCAAGTTTTAAAGAGGTACCTTTACAGAGAGGTGTTCATTACTCACACAGATATGACTTTAGAATGTAGACAGATAAAAGAAAATAAGATGGGTAAATCTAAAAGAAATGAAGAAATCTGCAAGTCAGAGCAAATAAGTGTTTACTGCAGAATGGAGTTTTCCACTGGAAAGCAGTTACAGACTACACCAGCTAGGGGGAATATTGGGACTTTCATTTACAAAGGAATTCATTTAGATTATATAAATTGTTTGTCAGATTACTTCACTGGTAGATTAAACAAACAATGCACCATCCGTCATTAGTACAAGAGTGCATTTGTATCAGTGAATCAGAAACAACTTATATACAAAGTATTCTCAAAGATTAGGACCAGTTTCATTGTATTGTATATGTCAAGAGCCCAGTTGTTTGTGAAGAAAATGTTTTTCACAATTCCTTATTGATCGCAAAGTTTATCAGCAGTTCAACATGGCAGCAATTGCCCAAGATGGGAGTCATTCCTGCCACCACTGGAACATTGCAAAGATCATTGACCCATGTTATGATTGTTGACATTACCAGGAGCAGAAATTCTCTGTTGATGTTGTAATCCAGGTTGCTTTTTGTGTGATTATTTTTTGGTAAATGCTAGTGAAAATGGAACAGCTTTCAGTTTTTTAAAATAAGCGCTGATTTATAGAGCCACAACACTGAATTTTCCTGAAGTACAGATGAATTGAAATCAAGGACATTACTAAGGCTTCAGATCTTTCATATTTCATACTGTGGTTCTCAATAAATGAGTCAATAACTTCTCTATTTCAAGTTGTTTACATAGCAGTTGCTCTCTAAAGCCTGAAGGAATGACCTGGAATCTCTCTTTTCCTTGAGAAAGCCAGTTACCAGAACACTGTCTCTGGACATTCATTCCTCCTATGCCTTGGCTTTGAATCTAAAGAGATTGTGTCAGCACCCCAGCTTGTCCATTTGTTAACTCACCTATTTAAGCAGGATTAAAACCTCTGTAAGCTTTAAATTCCATTTCTTTAAGATATAAATAAGAGGCCGGGCGCGGTGGCTCAAGCCTGTAATCCCAGCACTTTGGGAGGCCGAGGCGGGTGGATCACGAGGTCGAGAGATCGAGACCATCCTGGTCAACATGGTGAAACCCCGTCTCTACTAAAAATTACAAAAAATTAGCTGGGCATGGTGGCGCGTGCCTGTAATCCCAGCTACTCAGGAGGCTGAGGCAGGAGCATTGCCTGAACCCAGGGGGCGGAGGTTGCGGTGAGCCGAGATTGCGCCATTGCACTCCAGCCTGGGTAACAAGAGCGAAACTCCGTCTCAAAAAAAAAAAAAAAAAAAAAAAAAAAAAAAAAAAAAAAAGATATAAATAAGAAATATGTTGCACAGTTTACTTCAGTATATTATATATTGAAGAAGTAATTATGCACCACATGTGTGGTGCATGCCAGAGATTTTCAATGGTGAAAGAAAATTTGAAAAGACCCTATCATTATGGACCCTATCATAACTTTAGAGGAGAAGAATATATTTATGAAACAACAATGCAAGTAAAGTTATGATTACAAACTATTTAACAGGGACGTGGTATAAAGAGATCATGTAGTTTCAAGGGACTAACCAGTGAGAGGAGTAGTCAGCAAAGGGTTCTCTGAGGAAGTGAAGTTGGTGCTGATATGTAAAGAATAATTAGGAATTAAAGAGATAAAATATTAACAAAACCCAATTTCATGTGCTTTCAATCTGGGGGAGAATTGCTTCTGTGAATGCAAACAGTCAAATTGCAAAATATTTGAAGAGATTTATTCTGAGCAAATATGAGTGACCATGGCCCATGACACAGCCCTCAGGAGACCCTGAGAACATGTACCCATGGTGGTCAGGGCAGGACTTGATTTTGTACATTCATACATTTTAATATATATACAGGAGATACCAGTCAATACATTTAAGATATACATTGGTTTGTGCAGAAAGCTGGGACAACTTGAAGCGGTAAGTTGGGGGAGTGCTTCCAGGATGTCGGTAGGTTTTAAAATTTTCTGCTTTGCAATTGGTTGACAGAATTATTTTCAATAGAAAGGAATGTCTGGGTTATGATAAGAGGTTGTGGGGACCAAAGTGTTAACATGCAGATGAAGCCTCCAGGCAGCACTCTTCAGAGAAAATAGGTTGTAAAAGTCTGTGTTGATGTTAAATGCTGGTCAGCTTTTCTTGAATTCCAAAAAGGAAGAGGGCAGAATAAGGCATGTTCAAGCCCCCTTCTTGTCATGGCCTGAATCAGTCTTTCAGGTTAAATTTGGAGGGACCTGGCATAGAGGAGGAAGTCCATTTAGATTGCTGGTGGTAAGAGTGGTCAGGCTCGGATAGTGGGGGGGCTTTGAATTTTAATTTCTCTCCCCAAAACCCTGAAAAGAGGATCAATGTGTTTGTAGTCCAGAGAGTACATAAGAATATGGTACAAACTGAGAGCAGAGAGGGAAGCAGGGGTCAGAACATGCAGGCTTTGCATGGATGTAAAGAACACTTGTTTTTATCATAAGAGCAATGTGATGCCACAAGCATGCTTAAAGGACAGTCATATTTACATCTACCATGTGAAAAGGTCACTATTATTTGTAGAATAAATGTTTAGGGCAGCAAAAAAAGTTCTACAATAAAGTTAAATGAGTGTAAATCTTATATCATTTAGGATACCACATAAGGTGATATTACAGAAAGACGATGCTATAAGAAGATAGGAGTTTATTTCTGTCTCACATAAGGATCTCTAGGTGACTGCTGGTGACTTGTCTCTCCTCCATGATGTCATTCAGATAACTAGTTTTTTTATTTTAATCTTTTTAGTTCTAGTATTGAAGCAGGAGCGGCAAGGAAAAAACCTCTCGAACATCAAGCTGAGGAAGGAAGTGGCTTTTTATTCAGCTGGGAGCTGCAGGGGTCTACAGCCTCATTTACTGAACTTCCGGAGAAGCAGCTCCTTTCCCCTTTTATAGGCTTACAATGCTAAAGGGGAAACTGAGGCAAAACTGTGTCATTGCTCATTTGCTGGATGTCCGATCTTGCAATCTTTTGGCTTCATTGATTTGCTAATTCATATGCAGTATGAGCAGGAACAGACAGGGGAGAGGGCTTACAGAGACAAGACAAAGGCAGTAAATTATTATTTGACAGAGGTATTTCCAGGAAGGAGCCTGGATCATGCAAACATTGGGGCATGACCCAGTGTTGGGCTCCAGCTGGTAATGATAATATTCATTTGCAACTCTTTCAAGGCTTATAGATAGCAGAGACACTAGGAACTGAAAAGGGGGAGTCATCTTCCCAGCTCCTTGGTATTTTATTTTTTCACTCTCCTTTCCATCCAGAGGAGAAGAGGAGGTGGAGGATAAGAAGAGGGAGAAAGGGAGGGGGGTCTTTCATCTCATTTGTCAAATAAATTTTTAGGGCAGCAAAAACAGTTCTACAATAGGCAAGTTAAAAAAGTATAAATCCTATATAATTTAGGATACCACATAAGCTGATATGACAGAAAGATGATGCTAAAAAAAGATAAGAGTTTGTGTCTCACATAAGTGTCTCTAGGTGAGTGCTGGTGACTTGCCTCTCCTCCATGATGTCCTTCAGGTAACTAGTTTTTTTTTTTTTAATCTTTGTAGTTCCAGTACCTTGTACCCTAGACTGTTTTTCTCATTTGCATGGTCACAGTAGAGGCATCTCCATTCTATTATTTCAACACATAGGTGGGGCAGAAATGAAGGGGGGAAGCAATTACCTTTTATGCACCAATATAGAGTTTTAACAGAACACTTGTGTTTACATCAGTTTATGGAAACTTAGTCATATGGCTGCTTCTAGCTTCAAGTTAAGCTGGGAAATATCTATGACCACACTCCTATGTTATCATGCATTATAAAAACATGGCACCGTCTGGTGCTAAACAGAAATTATAGAGAACAATGATGGACAGTTATTAGATGACACCTGAGGAAAGGAGATGGGCTTCCCTTAATCCAAAAAAGAAACACAGATTTACTCTAACTGTAAGAAAAAAAGGGAGAAAGTTGGTATAATTATTAGTTTGGCATAAACAATTAATAATATAATAGGAACATAATGCATAATATGTTACCCGTCATATAGTAGGGGCTTAATAAAAATATTGAATCTGATATACTAATATCATTATTACCAATAAAATAATGATAATTACTATTCAAATACTTTTATCAAATAATTGGTTCTAAAACATTACATTTTATATAATAGGTGGATGAATATTGAAACATCTTTTCAGCAAGATTAAAAATATTTCCCTCACTTACCTACATTTTTTTTTGAAATTCACACTTTACTTGCATTTACTATTATTTTTCCAGCTAGCAAAAGATTATGGCCCTGTGTTCACTGTTTATTTTGGCATGAAGCCCACTGTGGTGTTGCATGAATACAAAGCAATTAAGGAAGCACTGATTGATCATGGAGAAGAATTTTCTGGCCGAGGGAGTTTTCCAGTGATGGACAGAATTACCCAAGGATTAGGTATGCTTCCCTTTGGGGTATGTGTGTGGGTTTGTAAGTTGTAAAAACCTCAGAAATTCTAAGAAATTGACAAATCATAGGTATTTAGAAAAATTTGTGAAACACACTTTTCATATTTTCTACATGAGGCTAAGAATAATTTTTCTATAAAGTCTCATGAATCTATATTTAAAATTTGTGAAAGTGACACACTGATCCCATTAAACATTAAATTTAGTGATAACAAGCCATCTAACCAGTAATTTTCTATGAATTCATTACAAAGACAAGTTCATTGTAAATTGTGGTCAGTTAAAATAATGGAAAAGCAACAGAGAGATGAGAGAGAGGAGGAAAATTACCGAATTATTGTATTCACCAAATATTTTGCTTCCTGATCTTAGTCATGGATATGCAGAGATTAGTTTAGGAAGCTTGAATTGTATGCATGGAACCACGTGAGTTTGGAAGATGTCCAACTTTACCTTCAAATATGATTCTAAAAAAGCATGAAAAATATTAGAATCTGAGAGAATACAAAGCATAAAGCCAATATGTGTTCTGAAAAGATCATGGAGAAACATATAGTGAGTATGTAACAGAATTGATACTAGAAAAAGCTTATTTGATTAAGTGCTTCAACTTTCTTCTATTTGTTTTTAAAGCTAGCCTTAAACTGTCCAGTCTTCTGGTGGATCACAGGGTTCTGGCCAACAGAGATATGACCTGAATGGGGTCCTGACCTCTTCTGCATTGTTCTCTAAGAGGCTTCCTGGATAAATTTCATAGGAGCTTATTTTCCCCTTAATCTGGTCTTGACTCTGGCAGCCTAGTATTGAACTTCTTTGGTGTTTCCTTCCATATTTCATGGAAGAGAGTTAACAAATCGAGGGGGAATGTTAAATGGATGAGTTATCTGTTTAGCCATTATACCCTTTATCTGAGGAATGGATTGTTAGGTGATTCCTTCCAAAGAAAAAGTGCTGTCTTACATTATCCTGAGAATTCCCCCCTCTTGTTGTTTCTCCTAAAATTCACTTACAGTCTGAAAAGCCAGCCCTGAAAATTAATGTATGACTAGGACTCACCATGTTTATTGCTGCAGGATCATAGACCATTTTGCCTTTATGATTTTTAGCATCCTTGTAAAATTGGACAAAACATTCAGTTCATAGAGTTATTTTGAGTTTTAGTGAAGCAGGTGGATAAAGAATAGTTTAGCAATATGCACAGTTGAGAATCCTGACAGTTAAATAGTAGTTTGGGTTAAGAGAGGAGGCAGGTGAGGAAGGGCTCAATGGGAATTCCTGAAGCTGACACCATTATATTTACATCCCTGCTGAAATGTCAGTATTGTTTCCTGAGATGAGAACTGTCAGCTCCTATTCATGACAATGAAGGATATTTTCTCTCTCTTTTTTCTTTTGTGTTGATAGGAGTTATTTTTAGCAATGGAGAAAGATGGAAGCAAACCCGACGTTTCTCTCTCATGGTTTTGAGGAATATGGGGATGGGGAAGAAAACGATTGAAGACCGAATTCAAGAGGAAGCCTTGTGTCTGGTGGCAGCATTAAAAAAAACCAATGGTGTTTATTTCTGCATATAATTAACACTAATTGTTTGGGTAAAATAAATGGTATTGTAAATAGACTACAAAATATTACGATGGCTGAAGTATCATAGTTCACTCTTTGCTTATATAACCATAATTAAGAGGTGAAGTGTTTGGAATAACAGTCTTTTTAGGTACCAGGTTAATTGGGCTTTGATACCTTCAGCAAGTGTCATCGATGGCTCATCCCTTTGTGTGGCAGAGGAAGGAGAAATGGGGAAGTTAAAGAGCAAATACTATTTAGGCCATGCATAGAAGTCGCACATGTAAATTCTCTTATATGTACCACTTAGTAATAGGGCTACACCTAACTGCAAGAGAAGCTGCAAAATGTGGTTTACTCTGTGCACACAAAGAGAACGTGAATTTTAGCAGTCAGCTAACAGTCTTGGCCACACAAGCTTAAAAAATTAGGTAACTTTTCTAGTAAATTATTTAAGAACGATGCAGGGGTTGCTAACTACCACCAAAGTGTAGGGCTGCAATTCACCTCTTATGAAGGAGTGTGGATATGAAGAAATAGAACCACAGCAGCACAGATTTCTGCAGTATCTAGATATGTGTGTGCACATGCAGGGCTGAGAGAGGAGGTAGGGAAGAAAGGAGCAGGCAGGGCAGGCAAGGGGTAAGATCAGCATCATAAGATATATGTGGTTTTATAATCTCATACATTGAATGAATATTTTTGTGTGTTTAACTTGTCAATGTTTTTCAAGAACATTATTAGCTGGATAGTAGAGTAATCCATTATTTTGGACTTACTTGAGTTTATTTAACTAATCCTCTATTTTGTCCAGATAAGTTGATTCTAGTTTTTCCTGCTCTTAATATACAAAACTGCAACCCATATTAATTGTTTTTAATGTCTGACTACTTTCTTTGAATGAAATTTGAAAATAGAATTGATTGAGCAATGAAAATTAGGTTTTGATATATATTATCTGTTAAATGATTTGTATCCTTAATTTGTATTGAAGCAGAACTTATTATTAACTAGTTCAACTTTTCCCATGGTGACTTATCTCAACTTCCTGATATGTGATCATCCCAAATCTGCTTGATTCCACTTAGTTATTATACCCTCACACTTTTGGGGAAGCCCATTTCATCACCAATAACCCTAACAGTTGGAAATTATTTTCATATGTTGAAAAGAGCTAATTTTCCTTGTAACTTTTACTTTTTGATCTCAGCTTGTATTTTCCTTCTAGAGTTGTAGTGTTGTGGTTGTCACCACAGGCAGGAGGGATGTTATTTCTCATCCAAAATCTGGTTTAGATGTTTACACTAATGTTGACACACAAATACCAATAGGATATGAAAGTTTTATTACTCACATAATGTTGCTTTCAATGAACAGCAGGATGATACCCATCCAGGTCCCAAAATAACATTGAAAGAGCAGGGAGAGGATAGTGGCATGAAGTTTTTGTGGCAATTAGGGGTTAGGCCTTGGTTGAAGATTCCTGTGTGCAGTCCAGGGCTTAAACTTCCTGTTTGTGCCAGAGGAGGGAACCCTTAGGCATTTTTTTTTTCCAGCTTTTCCAGATGGGATTGAAGGGGAAGAGTTCAGCATGAGTCTTCAAAACTTCTACCAATGGAATATCAAAAAATGAGGCCATGGTCTTTATTGCATATAGGAAACCTATTTCTACCCACAATGTATTTTTCTATAATTCTAATTTCTCTCATTATTTTTATATTTTAAAAAAGACAACAGTATTTTTCAGCTGTGTTTTATAATATTCTGTTTCAAGTTTCTTCAGTGTTTTTATTTTCTTTTTCATTGCATTTTAGGTTTTGGGGTACATGTGAAGAACATGCAAGATAGTTGCATAGGTACACACGTATCTGGGTGATTTGCTGCCTTCCTCCCTTTCACCCATATCTGGAATTTCTCCCCATGCTATCTCTCCCTAACTCCCCCCAACCCCACTGTCCCTCCCCTATTCCCCCATTAGACCTCAGTGTATAGTGCTCCCCTCCCTGTGTCCATGTGTTCTCATTGTTCATCACCCGCCTATGAGTGAGAACATGTGGTATTTCATTTGCTGTTCTTGTGTCACTTTGCTGAGAATGATGTTCTCCAGGTTCATCCATGCCCCTACAAAGGACCTGAACTCATCGTTTTTGGTTGCTGCGTAATATTCTATGGTGTCTATGTGCCACATTTTCCCTGTCCAGTCTATCATCGATGGGCATTTGGGTTGGTTCCAGGTCTTTGCCATTGTAAACAGTGCTGCAATGAACATTCGTGTGCATGTGTCCTTATAGTAGAATGATTTATAGTCCTTTGGATATATACCCAGTAATGGGATTGCTGGATCAATTGGAATTTCTATTTCTAGGTCCTTGAGAAATCGCCACACTGTCTTCCACAATGGTTGAACTAATTTACCCTCCCACCAGCAGTGTAAAAGTGTTCCTATTTCTCCACATCCTCTCCAGCATATGTTGTCTCCAGATTTTTTAATGATCACCATTCTAACTGGCGTGAGATGGTATCTCAATGTAGTTTTGATTTGCATCTCTCTGATGACCAGTGATGATGAGCATTTTTTCGTATGTTTGTTGGCCTCATGTATGTCTTCTTTTGTAAAGTGTCTGTTCATATCCTTTGCCCACTTTTGAATGGGCTTGTTTGTTTTTTTCCTGTAAATCTGTTTGAGTTCTTTGTAAATTCTGGATATCAGCCCTTTGTCAGATGGGTAAACTGCAAAAATTTTTTCCCATTCTGTTGGTTGCTGATTCACTCTGGTGATGGTTTCTTTTGCCGTGCAGAAGCTGTGAGTTTGATTAGGTCCCATTTGTCAATTTTGGCTTTTGTTGCCAATGCTTTTGGTGTTTTGGTCATGAAGTCCTTACCTACTCCTATGTCCTGAATGGTTTTGCCTAAATTTTCTTCTAGGGTTTTCATGGTGTTAGGTCTTATGTTTAAGTCCTGGATAATATCCTGAAAAGTATTTTCCAGCTTGGATTCATCCTCTTTGTCACATTCAGGTACACCGATCAAGTGTATATTAGGTCTTTTCACATAGTCCCACATTTCTTGGAGACTTTGTTCATTCCTTTTTGTGCTTTTTTCTCTAATCTTGAACTTGAACTCAGACCTGGAACAAGCAAACCTGATAGACATTTACAGAAGTCTCCACCTCAAATCCAAAGAATATACATTCTTCTCAGCACCACATCACACCTACTTTAAATTGACCACATAATTGGAAGTAAATCACTCCTCAACAAATGCAAAAGAACCGAATACATAACAAACAGTCTCTCAGACCACAGTGCAATCAAGTTAGAACTCAGAATTCAGAAACTAACTCAGAACCACACAGCTTCATGGAAACTGAACAAGTGGCTCTTGAATGTTGCCTGTAAAAAACACTGAAATGAAGGCAGAAATAAAGAAGTTCTTCAAAACCAATGAGAACGAAGACACAACATAGCAGAATTTTCTGGGACCCATTTAAAGCAGTCTCTAGAGGAAAATATATAACAATAAGTGCCCATATGGGAAGAGTGGAGAGATCCAAAATTGACAACCTATCGTCAAAATTGAAAGAGTCAGAGGAGCAAGATCAAAAAAACTCAAAACCTAGCAGAAGGCAAGAAACTCCTGAAGAGTATTTTTCAGCTTGGATTCATTCTCTTCGTCACATTCTGGTACACCTATCAGACATAGATTAGGTCTCTTCACATAGTCCCACATTTCTTAGAGACTTTGTTCATTCCTTTTTGCGCTTTTTTTTTCTAATCTTGCCTTCTCATTTTATTTCATTGAGTTGATCTTTGACCTCTAATATCCTTTCTTCTGCTTGGTTCATTCGGCCGTTGAAACTTGTGCATGCTTTGTGAAGTTCTCATGTTGTGTTTTTCAGCTCCGTCAATTCACTCATATTCCTCTCTAAGTTGTTCATTCTTGTTATCATTTCGTCAAATCTTTTTTCAAGGTTCTTAGTTTCTTTGCATTGAGTTAGAACATGTTCTTTTAGCTCACGGAAGTTTCTCATTACCCACCTTCTGAAGTCAGATTCTGTCATTTCATCACACTCATTCTCTGTCCACCTTTGTTTCCTTGCTGGTGTGGAGTTGTGATCCCTTGTAGGATGTGAGGTGTTCTGGTTTCAGGTATTTTCATCCTTTTTGCGCTGGTTTCTTCCCATCTTTGTGGATTTATCCACCTGTTGTCTGTGTAGTTGCTGATTTTTTTGATTGGGTCTCTGAGTGGACGTCCAGATTGTTGATGATGATGTTATTTCTGTTTCTTAGTTTTCCTTCTAACAGTCTGGCCCCTCTGCTGTAGGACTGCTGAGGTCCACTTCAGGTTGTGCTTGCCTGGGGATCACCTGTAGCAGCTGCATAACAGTAAGGGTTGCTACCAGTTTCTTCTTCTGCTGTCTTTGTCCCAGAATGATGCCCACCAAATGTCAGTCTGCTCAGTCCTTTGTGAGGTGACTCTTTGGATATATGGGGTCAGGGAGCTGCTTGAGGAGACAGTCTGTACTTTATAGGAGCTCAAGTGCTGAGCTGTGAGGTCCATTGTTCATTCAGAGCTGCTAGGCAGGTACATTTAAGTCTGCTGCAGCAGAAATCATAAAACCCCTTTTTTTCCTCAGTTGCTCTGTCCCGGGGAGTTAGGGCTTTATTTGTGAGTATTTATTGCACTGTCGTGCCCAGCAAGGAGGCAGCCTAGTCACTGCCTGCCTGCAGAGGCTTTGGTGAGCTTCTCTGGGGTCTGCCCTGCTGCTGTGTGTATTTCCCTGCAGTCCTGTTTATATGGTTGTGGTTAGAACTGCCATGGCGATGGTGGCCTGCCTTAGTAATGGCGGACTCTCTCTGTTATGGCGGGTTGCCTTGGCAACAGCAGTCTGTGTCAGCAATGGCAGACTACCTCCGTAGGGGTACAGTGCGTTGATAATGGCCAACACCCCTCCTCTACTGAGCTGCACCATCCTGGGTTCAGCTGTGCTTGTCGTGAAATTCTCAACCTCGAGCATTTCCAATTGCAGTTTTTTTGTTTGTTTGTTTTTGTGGGGGTGGGACCCGCTGAGCCTGATCACCTGGCTCCCCGCCTCAAAGCCATTTTTTTTAAAGTTGAACCATTGACTCTTTCCCAGGTGTTCCAGTTGCCTTCTGAAAGTGCACCAGGAACTGTGTGATTTCCTGTGCAGCGACCCACTGCACCAGCTGAAACAACGTTGCTGCCCAGGAATCTCCTGGCCTGGCTCTGTTTCAGTCCTGTTTAATCAGATGAATGTGCTAATCTGCCTTCCCAGATCTCCAGTTGCTGTTTTAACAGGGCAACCAGACCAGTGTATTTTGTATGGAGAGCTGCTGCGCTGCAGCGCTGGCCAAAACAGCTGCGCCAGCCAAAACAGCTGTGCTGGTGACCTGTGGGGCTCCTCCACTTGGGAATCTCCTGGTCTGTGGGCAATGAAGATCCGTCTGGCTATGCGGCATCCACTCAACCTCTGCGCTTTCACTGGGAGCTGCAATCCTGAGCTGCTGCTACAGCACCATCTTCTCTTCTTCCTCTGACTTTCTTTTACATTATTTAGTTTTCTATTGGCATTGCGAGGATGCGTCAACACTGACAATTAAATCCCATAGATTGAAAGATATTTTAAATGGCCTCTTTTTATTTTGTATACCTTCTTGTGAATTAGAACATTTTCAAAAGTGATAGGAGACCCCTTTGGGCAAATTTATATAAGTAAACTTGTCTAGATTAGACAGTTGTATTTGGAGAAACACAACACATTTTATTTTAGGCATCTGAAGTTTATAGCAATGGTGGCATGTTCAGGTAGTTTCTATTCCTAAAGCATCCTAGAAGTCAATCATTTTGAACTATTTTAAACAGTCAATATTAGATTTATATGAAAATTATTTACTAACTTCTGACTGATATTGTTTATAGCATCTCCCTCTGATCCCACTTTTCTTCTGGGATGTGTTCCCTGCAATGTGATCAGCGCCATCATTTTTCAGAATCGTTTTGACTACAGTGATCCGAAATTTCAAACCTTGATCAACTATTTCAATGAAAACTTTGAAAGTGTGAGCGCCCCTTGGATACAGGTAAGCTCAAGGTTCTTTTTGAATGTGTAATAGTTTTCTAGCTTATCTATTGCTCATGCCTACCCCATCTCTCTGCCCTATTTAAAAATGTTCAAAGTAATGCTTATTAAATTCTCATTTGCAACCCATTAGTGAGTTGTCAAGTCAATCTAATGCAATAAAACTGAAAACACAAAATGAGATAGAATAGAAAAAATGTATAATCACGGAGTGCTTCATTTATAGCACGATTTGTTAAAACTATTGTTGTTTTTTTAGATTCTCTGATATAGAAGGTAGTGATTTAAGATGCATTTCTTATTAAAGTACATGGTCAGAAAATGTTAGAAACCTATGTTTTACAATCATTAACAACTAAAATTCTATACTGATCATCAAGTTATGATGTGTCCTACCTTCAAAGGACCCTAGAGAATAAATAATCTAATGTCTCTCATTTACTGGAATGGGAAACTGACCCACAGCTATTAGGTATATTTTCCAAAATAGCCTAGCTAAATCAATAAACAAGCAGAATCTAGAATCTAGATTTCCTGATTCCATATCTAGTCTGATTCAAGCTGCCAGCCTGATTATATAATGTTGATGCCTTCCCAAATTATTAGGTCATCCGGGTATTATCTAAAGCACGTTCTGTAAACCCTAGGACCAGCAAAAGAATGAATCTGGAAAATATGCACATTCTTCAGGTTGGAATGCCTAAGTATTCTCTCTCCACACACACACACACACACATATATATAAGAAAGTTCCCAAGTCACTTAGCTTATATGTATATAGATGTACTACTTCTTCATTATAACAAATGAGTATGAGTCTTCATGAATTTTTAGACTATCCCCTTGTGAAATATGTATTGGATATACTGGTATGAACAGAGAGTATTAGCTCTGAGATCACTAGTTTGGTGTGGTCAGATTGTTAATTAACCTTATGAACTTCAATATCCTCATCTGAAGAGAGGTGACAACAGGGGTAATTTCCTGACTTCCTTCAGAGAGTATGGTAAGGAAAATAATGTGATTGACCTTGAAGTTGCTTTGTAACCTGTGCATACCATCTCTACCTACTCTTTCAGTGCTCTGTCCTTCAAATTCTGAATGCCCTGTTGGGCAGGAACCATGTCTATTTATCTTTTTCTACTTAGCATATAGCCAGTATCTGATAAATAATAAGGGCCTGTGTTTAGTGAATAAATTAATGAAGGATTCTTCTTTCTTTCTTTCAGCTCTACAATGCTTTTCCCTTTTTACGGTTTCTCCCAGGAAGTCATAATGTGATATTTAAAAACTATGCCTTGCAAATAAATTTTATTTTGGAGAAAGTAAAAGAACATCAAGAATCTCTGGATATCAGTAATCCTCGAGACTTTATTGACTACTTTCTGATTAAAATGGAAAAGGTATAATGTGATGCTGATTTGCTACTTTATCATTGTGGGTGACATGACTCACGGATATGCTTTGGTTTTCCTGGTAAAACTGAGACATGAAGTTTTACCAGGAAAACTTCTCTGTTCTTTAGAACAAATTCTCTGTTCTAAACTGTATTCATTGTTCATCCTATTACCTGTGTAAGCCATTTCTAAGTTGAGTGTCTTGGTATATTTCTAAGTTCTCACTTTAAAAGACTTAAGTTTCATGTTTACCATGTTAAAGCTGGTTCTTTATCTGGGGGCAGATCAAAACACAAAAACACACACAAGCACACATCCATTCAAGACTGGTGATAACATATCATGGTTCCATGGACAGAAGATGTAACTAATGAGGGAACACAGGAATGGATAGGAACCCAGAAAGACTGACTTTTGAAAATCTCTAAGAAATATTTATTCACAGATGAAGTAGATTTGAGGAAACTCTCAGATAAACAGGGAGGAAAAAATGGTTCCAGGAGACGCTGAGTGTAGTAATCAAGTTTGTGAAATTTTCAAAGAGGCTATCTTGATTTTAATTGAGGAAGAGTGGTGGCTGTAATGACTGATGGAGTTGGACATAGTACTATAGTTTGGTTCCAGAAGCTTTTGAATGAAAAATTAGACATGATGAATAGACAGTAGATGCTAGATTTGACAGTGATTAGCAGTGATGACTTAATAAAAAGTATGTTTAAAAGAAATTATAAAGGAACTGATTGGCTTCAGTGGGTAAGAAAGTGAAGAATGAGAAAGGACTTGAAATTTTATAACTCCAATTATATTTTAACAAAAATCCTAACAGTTCACCTCACATAATCTTTACCCATAGCACACCCTAATGTCTGGGTTAATTTGCCAGGTATTAATGTCATATTGAACAGTGTTGTGTTACTTGACAATCTTATTATTTATTAAGTAATTTTACCATGTCGTTGCTAGGAAAAACACAATAAACAGTCTGAATTTACTATGGACAACTTGGTTGCTACCATATGGGATATGTTTAATGCAGGGACAGAGTCAACGAGTACCACGATGAGATATGGACTCTTGCTCCTGCTGAAGCACCCTGAGATCTCAGGTATGATCAGAGATGATTAGCAAGATCAGATTTCAGGTAGAAATGGACAGAAAACACTGATAACCATCCCACCATTTACCTGCTAACACAATGTACAAGAAATGATCTCATTGGTGCATCTACCTACCATTGGGTGGGTTCAATTCAAGTTAGTTCATAGTATAAAAAGAGAATAAAATGTTTTATGACAGAGATTTGAAGGGCAGAGGTCATTCTTCCTGCTATGGTGCAGTATTCTTGATTTGGGTTGGAACAGTTGCCGTAACAGAGTTGTCTCAGGATCTGGAAAGAACTAGCCTCTCTCATTCCCTCAAAAGTGTTCACTTGATGTGCCTTCCATGTTTAAATAAATATGTTTTTATCAAAAGATATTTCTACTGAAATGCATCTGCAATGTAGGGATTCATTCAATAAAGTTAGAATCTTTCTCCACCAAACGACTCAATCTCAAGGGTTATACACCCTCTCCCACATTATTTTCTAGAAAACCCTTTTGGATAGACACATTTTTCCTCATAAACATAACTTCTCTTTCAAATTTAACTTTTTCATTTTTCTACTCTTTTTTACTGAGTCTTCATCTAAGATGATGTTTCTTTCACTACTGTATCATGGTTTTTGATTTGGTGCATTCAGACATATTTACTATGATTAAAACTCATGAAGCTTATCTCCATGATATCAGCACCAAAATTTTCCCCTTTAAGGTTTTTTTGCCCTCCCATTATGAATAGGAGACATTTTCTGAGTACTGAAATTTAGAAGCATATCTGCAAATTTATTTTGCAACATTGTGAGATATGGTGCTTCTCTTTCTTTCATTTGACCCAGTCTTTGTTAGCCAAATACTTCCCTTTTATAAGACCTATGTTGATTATGACCAGAACTTGTATATGACATTCCTCTCCAAACCTTTCAATCTTTTGCACATTGCAAATCCGCTGTGTCATATTCCTTATCACTCCCAGTTTCATTTTCCAGTTGGATGTTTTCTTAAGTCATGTCTACATATATTTTTCTTTCCTTTCTATCCTCATCTTTTACTATGCTATTCTATTGAGCATTTCAATTGTATTACTAGTTCTTGACCACTTTTTGTCTCCCCTCTCTTCTGTATAAAACTCCAGCCTCTCAGCCTGAGAAGGGGATATTTAAAACATGCCTCAAATTTGTTTTATTTTTGATAGCTATCAAACTACAGGATTTGCACATGCTCTATTACAAAGACAGATTCTTCAGCTAGTACATAAGTAACATTAAACTAAAGCAGCAGTGTGGCATAGTTATTTTGAAAAATGAGTTATAGACTTTAATAGCAGTGGCTTTGAATTCCAATTCTACTAATAGATAGCTTGCTTGACCTGCAGACACATGACTACTCTCGATATCTCTGATCCCTTATTATCTGTTCAAAGGGGATAATACTGGAAAGACCTCATATTCTGTGAGCATTCCGAGGAAACTTTATTTACTTCTCTGGACTTATTTCTTTGTAAAATATATAAAATGATACCTGACACGTATAATTTCTTGAAGAATTACAAAGTAATACAATGAACAGTGCAGTACGTTCATCCTATATTAGTAATACTTTCTAAATAAATGTAATTTCTTAATTTTCTGTGCTGAATCAAGTAAATGTTTTATATTTTTCTATTTGTTAAGCATTTCCTGAACTACACTGTGTAGTTCTTGGATTATTGAAACTTAAATATTTAAGATAAAATTGGCATATATAAAGTAGTTGAACTACATGATCTTCAGTGATTCTTCAGGATCCCAGATCTTTGAATCTGTCAAGAAAAAGTACACAGAGTAGGGAATCAGATTTGAGAACTGAATGTCATCGTGCAATTGTACTTCATACCTGCATATATTTAAGTATCTAATGAACTTTCAGTTTGTCCAAGAAATGCAAACTGTTTTTTTTTTCATTCCTGTGGAGGTGGTAACATAATTTTCCATCTGTCCTTTTCCAATGACAATGGGACAGTGATGAAAGGATCAAACAAGTGGTACTTCAAGTTTTTTTTCATTTCAAATAAATTCTGATTCCTGCCCTGCCAGCTAAAGTGCAGGAAGAAATTGATCAAGTGGTTGGCAAAAACCGAAGCCCTTGCATGCAGGACAGGAGCTGCATGCCCTACACAGATGCTGTGGTGCATGAGATCCAGAGATATATTGACCTTGTCCCCACCAGCCTGCCCCATGAAGTGACTCAAGATACTCATTTTAGAGAATACTTTATTCCAAAGGTGAGAGATACTGTGTCTATACCCTTCCTTAGGAGTCTTAGGCCATCAAATGTCATAGTGGTAGAACTTTAGATTGCCTAATCTTCTACAGGCATGGCACAGTCATAACTCTGGCATCCTATCCTGTGACCACATACTTCTTTCCTTCTAGTTTTTGATACACATTTCTAAATATGATAGTACTTAGACTCCCACAGGATTTTCAGTGCTTTGATAGCTCCACACTCTGCCTGTTCATTGGCCCAATGTGCTATCCTGTCCTTTGCTTTCAATTTTATGTTTTATTACTCCCACCTATTAATCAGTATCCTATATCCCCACCTCCTTGTCTACCTTCCTTATCACTTACTTGTGAAAAGTTCAATACAAAAGTCTCCTTTCTCCCTGCTGATTTTTGGCTACTGATCCCTGCTGGAAAAGACCATGCAGCGCAGCAGGTTGATATTATTATCATCAATTCCAAATGTATTGGCTTAATTTTGATCAATGCCAAATGAATCTTACCCAATAATCCTGCTTTAATAATGGTAACTCAACTTGCTCGACAATGACTTTCAACCTAGAATTCTTTTCAATCTTTCATTATCTTCTTTTTATTAGGCAACCTTTTTCCCCCATCTCACAGTCATTGGAAGTGGACTCTTCTAATGCCTACTTGGCTACATTCACACCCTTTGATTCTCTCTCATGTCAGTTGCTGTGACAGAATGGTTGTCTTGTGATCAAATAGAAGCTGTTTTGCCTGTGGCATGGATCCCTTCTATCTTACTTTTCCAATGATCCTCCTTCAATAATTATTTCTTCTTCCTTCCTCTTCATCATCTCCTTTCTTGCTGGCTCCTTCTTATTAGCTTGTGAACATCATCAATTCTCTTTTAATTTATGATTGACACATAATTGTACATATTTATGGATAACATAATGTTTTGAAACATGTATGAGTTGTGTAATGACTATATCAGGATAATTAGTATCTTGATTACCTTGAACATTTATCATTTATTTGTGATGAGAGCATTCAAGAACCTCCCTTTTAGCTGTTTTGAAATACATTTGTATTACACATTTTCATGCAGCTGATAAAGACATACCTGAGACTGGGCAATTTACTAAAGAAAGAGGTTTATTGGACTTACAGTTCCATGTGGCTGTGGAGGCCTCCCAATCATGGTGGAAGGCAAGGAGGAGCAAGCTGCATCTTACATGGATGGCAGCAGGCAAAGAGGGAGGTTGTGCAGAGAAACTCCAATTTTTTTCTTTTTTTTTACTGCATTTTAGGTTTTGGGGTACTTGTGAAGACCATGCAAGATTGTTGCATAGGTACAGACGTGGCAGTGTGATTTGCTGCGTTCCTCCCCATCACCTATATTTGGCATTTCTACCCATGCTATCTCTCCCCAACCCCACCCTCCACTGTCCCTCCCCTATTTCCTCCTGCCAGGTCCCAGTGTGTGATGCGCCCCTCCCTGTGTCCATGTGTTCTCATTGTTCAACACCCACCTATGAGTGAGAACATGCAGTGTTTGATTTTCTATTCTTGTGTCAGTTTGCTGAGATTGATGGTTTCCAGGTTCATCCATGTCCATACAAAGGGCACAAACTCATCGTTTTTTATGGCTGCATAGTATTTTCATGGTGTATATGTGCCACATTTTCCCTGTCCAGTCTATCATCAATGGGCATTTGGGTTGGTTCCAAGTCTTTGCTATTGTAAACAGTGCTGCTATGAACATTCATGTGCATGTGTCCTTATAGTAGAACAATTTATAATCCTTTGAATATATACCCAGTAATGGGATTGCTGGATTAAATGGAATTTCTATTTCTAGGTCCTCGAGGAATTGCCACACTGTCTTCCACAATGGTTGAACTAATTTACACTCCTACCAACAGTGTAAAAGTGTTCCTATTTCTCCACATCCTCTCCAGCTTATGTTGTCTCCAGATTTTTTAATGATCGCCATTCTAACTGGTGTGAGATGGTATCTCACTGTAGTTTTGATTTGCATTTCTCTAATGACCAGTGATGATGAGCATTTTTTTCATATGTTTGTTGGCCTCATATATGTCTTCTTTTGTAAAGTGTCTGGTCATATCCTTTGCCCACTATTGAATGGGTTTGTTTGTTTTTTTCTTGTAAATCTGTTTTAGTTCCTCGTAGATTCTGGATATTAGCCCTTGTGAAGTAGGTAGATTGCAAAATTTTTTTCCCATTCTGTTGGTTGCTGATTCACTCTAATGACAGTTTCTTTTGCCGTGCAGAAGCTGTGGAGTTTGATTAGGTTTCATTTGTCTATTTTGGCTTTTGTTGCCAATGCTTTTGGTGTTTTGGTCATGAAGTCCTTGCCTATGCCTACGTCCTGAATGGTTTTGCCTAGATTTTCTTCTAGAGTTTTTATGGTGTTAGGTCTTATGTTTAAGTCTTTAATCCATCTGGAGTTAATTTTAATGTAAGGTGTCAGGAAGGGGTCCAGTTTCTGCTTTCTGCACATGGCTAGCCAGTTTTCCCAATGCCATTTAATAAACAGGGAATCCTTTCCCCATTACTTGTTTTTGTCAGGTTTGTCAAAGATCAAATGGTTATAGATGTGTGGTATTGCTGGCGAGGCCTCTGTTCTGTTTCATTTGTGTATATCTCTGTTTTGGTACCAGTACCATGCTGTTTTGATTACTGTACCTTGTAGGATAGTTTGAACTCAGGTAGCATGATGCCTCCAGCTTTGTTCTTTTTGCTTAGAATTGACTTGGCTGTGTAGGCCCTCTTTTGGTTCCACATGAAGTTTAAGGTGTTTTTTTCCAGTTCTGAGAAGGTCATTGATAGCTTGATGGGGATAGCACTGAATCCGTAAAATACTTTGGGCAGTATGGCCATTTGCATATTGATTCTTCATAACCATGAGCATGGAATGTTTCTCCATCTGTTTGTGTCCTCTCTTATTTTGTTGAGCAGTGATTTGTAGTTCTCCTTGAAGAAGTCCTTTACATTCTTTGTTAGTTGTATTGCTAGGTATTTTATTCTCTGAAGCAATTGTGAATGGCAGTTTGTTCTTGATTTGGCTCTCTTTAAGTCTGTTATTGGTGTATAGGAATGCTTGTGATTTTTCACATTGATTTTGTATCATGAGACTTTGCTGAAGTTGCTTATCAGTTTTGGGAGATTTTTGGGCTGAGGTGATGGGGTCTTCTAGATATACAATCACATCATCTGCAAATAGAGACAATTTGACTTTCTTCTTTCCTAAATGAATACCCTTTGTTTCTTTTTCTTGCCTGATTGCTCTGGCTAGAACTTCAAATGCTATATTTGAATAGGAGTGGTGAGAGAGGGCATCCTTGTCTAGTGCCAGATTTCAAAGGGAATGCTTTCAGTTTTTGCCCATTCAGTATAATATTGGCTGTGGGTTTGTCATAAATACCTTTTATTATTTTGAGATATGTTCCATCCATACCTAGTTTATTGAGGGTTTTTAGCATATAGGGCTGTTGAATTTTGTCAAAGGCCTTCTCTGCATCAATTGAGATAATCATGTGGTTTTTGCCTTTGGTTCTGTTTATGTGGTGAATTATATTTATAGACTTGTGTATGTTAAAACAGCCTTGCATCCCCAGGATGAAGCCTATTTGATCATGGAGGATAAGCTTTTTGATGCACTGTTGCAATCAGTTTTCCAGTATTTTATTGAAGATTTTTGTGTCTATGTTCATCATTGATATTGGCCTGAAGTTTTCTTTTCTTGTTGAGTCTCTGCCAGGTTTTGGTATCAGGATGATGTTGGTCTCATAAAATGATTTTGGAAAGATTCCCTCATTTTGAATTGTTTGGAATAGTTTCAGAAGGAATGGTATCAGTTCCTCTTTGTATATCTGTTAGAATTCAGTTGTGATCCCATCTGCACCTGGGCTTTTTTGGTTGATAGGGTATTGATTGCTGCCTCAATTTCAACCCTTGTTATTGGTGTGTTCCGGGTTTCATGTTCTTCCTGGTTTAGGCTTGGGAGTGTGCAAGTGTCAAGGAATGTATCCATTTCTTCCAGGTTTACTAGTTTATGTTCATAGAGTTGTTTGTAATAATCTCTGATGATAGTTTGTGTTTCTGTGGAAAGTGTGGTGATATCCCCTTTATTTATTTTTTTGCATCTATTTGATTGTTCTGTCTTTTCTTTTTTATTAATCTGGCTAGTGGTCTATTTTGTTGATCTTTTTGAAAAAGCAGCTCCTGCATATATTGTTTTTTTGAAGGGGTTTTTTTTTAAATGTCTCTATCTCCTTCATTTCTGCTCTGATCTTATTTCTTGTCTTCTGCTAGCTTTTGAATTTTTTTGATCTTGCTCCTCTAGCTGTTCAATTTTGATGATAGGATGTCAATTTTAGATTTTTCCTTGCTTCTCATGTAGGCATTTATTGCTATATATTTTCCTCTAGACACTGCTTTAAATGTGTCCCAGAGATTCTGGTATGTTGTGTCTTCATTCTCATTGATTTTGAAGAACATCTTTATTTCGGTCTTTTTTTCATTGTTTATCCAGTCAACATTCAAGGGCCAGTTGTTTTGTTTTTATGAAGCTGTGCGGTTCTGAGTTAGTTTCTCAATTCTGAGTTCTAACTTGATTGCACTGTGGTCTGAGAGACTGTTTGTTATGATTTTCATTCTTTTTCATTTGGTGAGGAGTGATTTACTTCTGATTATGTGGTCACTTTTAGGGTAGGTATGATATGGTGCTGAGAAGAATGTATATTCTGTGGATTTGGGGTGTATAGTTCTGTAAATGTCTATTAGGTTTGCTTTGTCCAGGTCTCAGTTCAAGTCTTGGATATCCTAGTTAATTTTCTGTCTTGTTGCTCTATTATTGACAGTGGAGTCTTAGACTCCCACACAATAATCGTGGGAGACTTGAAGTCTCTTTGTAAGTCATTAAGAACTTGCTTCATGTATGTGGGTGCTGCTGTATTGGGTACGTATATATTTAGGATCATTAGCTCTTCTTGTTGCATTGATCCTT